GGGGGCTGGGGGCGCTGGGGGGCTGCGGGGACAGGGGGGAGCAGTTCAGGGCAAATTGAAGCACTTTTGGGGCATTTGGGGGCAGGTTTTGGGTGTTTGGGCAATTTTTGGGCATTCGGGGACACTTTTGGGGCATTTGGGGGCAGTTTTGGAGCTTTTGGGGGCTCTTTTGGAGTCTTTTTGGGGCACTTTTGGAGTATTTGGGGCACTTTTGGAGTATTTTTGGGGCACTTTTGGAGTATTTTTGGGGTACTTTTGGAATATTTGGGGCACTTTTGGGGCACTTTTGGAGTGTTTTGGGGCACTTTTGGAATATTTGGGTCACTTTTGGGGCACTTTTGGAATATTTGGGTCACTTTTGGGTCACTTTTTGAGTCTTTTTGGGGCACTTTTGGAATATTTGGGGCACTTTTGGGGCACTTTTGGAGTATTTGGGGTACTTTTGGAATATTTGGGGCACTTTTGGAATATTTGGGTCACTTTTGGGGCACTTTTGGAATATTTGGGTCACTTTTGGGTCACTTTTTGAGTCTTTTTGGGGCACTTTTGGAGTGTTTTGGGGCACTTTTGGAATATTTGGGTCACTTTTGGGGCACTTTTGGAGTCTTTTTGGGGTACTTTTGGAATATTTGGGGCACTTTTGGAATATTTGGGGCACTTTTGGGGCACTTTTGGAGTGTTTTGGGGTACTTTTGGAATTTTTGGCTCACTTTTGGGTCACTTTTGGAGTGTTTTGGGGTACTTCTGAAGCCTTTTTGGGGCACTCACCACATGGCCAACACCAGGTGGGCTGGGGGTCCCAACAGGGGGGTCCCACTCCCCCAAACTGCCCGCCCGTCCCGCTGCTCCGGGCCTCGCCTCTCCCCGTGTGCTCCCGTGACCTTTTGGGGGTAAAAAACAAAAATCAAGTTACTTTTTGGCTAGAAACACTCCCTCCCCCCGGGGCGGGGGGCTGTACCTGAGGGCTGGGCGGGGGTCCGGTGTGCCAGCAAGACCCCCAGGTCCGGGGGTCCCCGTCGGTGCTTCCTGAGGGCGGCCACGAGGCCACGGCGCCGCTCGCTGACCAAATCCCTCCCCACGAACGCCCCAAAACCGCCCAGCAGCGAGGCCAACCCCGCCACCAGCTCCTTCAGCGCCCGGGCCGGGACCCCCCCGGCCTCCCCCTCCTCAATTCGGGGCGCCGGCACCGGGGGTCCGTCCCCGGCCGGGCCGGGGGTCAGCAGGCGCCGGACGTCCAGGGATTTGACCTCGTGCTTGAAGAGGCCGCGGTGGCACAGGCGGTTCTGGGTGATCACCACGGGTCTGGGGGCGCCCAGGGGGGTCCCCAGAGAGAGACCCCCCCACGGGGGAGGCTGCAGCCAGCGGGGGCCCCGCCGGGAGCCCCCCGGGAGCGCCTTGGGGCCGAACCTGGCGGCGTCGCGCTCCCGCTTGCTGCGGAGGCGTTTGGCTTTGGTGGCGGCCGCGGGTTTGGGGAGGGGGCGGTGGTCGCGCCGCGGTGGGGAGGGGGCCAGGAGATCGCGGTGGTGGCGGCTCATGGCGGGGAAAGGCTGGGAAAGGGGGGTTTGCAGGGGCTTTGGCACCCCACGGCGTCTCTTGGTAGCCACTGAGCCCCCCGTTCAGCCCAGGGTCTCGTAATTGCTCCCCGAAGACCCCCGGCTCCCCCTCAGGACCCCCCGGCTCCCCCTCAAGGCCCCACTCCAACCCCCATTTTCCCTTCAGATCTCCCCCCCAGAGCCCCTCCATTCCTTTCTAGGAGCCGTATTCCCCCTTCAGGACTCGCAATCCTCGCCAATTTCCCCCGTTTTCAATCCAATTTCTCCCCAATTTCCCCACCTGCCCCGAGGCCGCGCCCCCTCACGCGCCGGTGGGCGGAGCCAGCGCCGGCGGCCGTTGGGCGCCGGGGGTCGCTTGAATTCTCCCGCGCTTGGCTTTGATTGGCCCGCCGGGCCCCAGCGCTCGGCCGCTGATTGGCTGAGGGCGGGGAGGCGGGAAAAGGCGGTGCCGCGAGGGAGGGGCGAGGCCTCCGTGAGGAGAAGGAGGGGAGAGTCTGAGGGAAGTTGGGAATAACGGGTGGAAATGCGGGAAAAAGGGGAAATTAGGCAGGAAAATGGGTGCGAAAGGGGAAAAACGGGGTGCGGTGAGGGAGACTTGGAGTAATGGGGGGAGAATTGTGGGGAAATGGCCATAGTGGGGTAAAATGGGAGGAGAACAGAGAGAATGGGGAATAATGGGGGGAAACTGGGGGATCGTGGGGGGAAAATGGGACATAGTGGGCTAAAATGTGGAGTAATGAGGGAAAACTGGGAGAAAATCTGGCAGAAAATAGGAGAAATTGCGGAGAAAGGGGAGCGAATGGGGTAAAATGGAGATAATGGGAAAAAATTGGGAGAAATGGGGGGGGGACAACAGGATAAAACGCAGGGAATTTTGGATAATGGGGTAAACTGGGGATAATGGGATAAAACGGGGGGAATTCTAAGGAAAATGGGGGGGGGGAAACAGCGGTGTCATCGTCATTATTTATCCACAACTTATTAAAGATGAATTAATTCTTTATTAGCGGTTTGCCGGCTGCAGGTGAGGGGGCGGGGGGTCCCCCAGTACCCAGACCCTCACCAGCTTTATTTTCGTTTTATTTCGCCGTCAGCGCTGCCTTGAGTCACCAAAGCAAAGCCTCTGGGGGGCCACGCAGGGTTTTGGGGAGGGGGTCCTGTGAGACCCCCCCCCCTTATTTGGAGGGGGGGGGGTCTTCAAGGCTTCTCCAGGAGTCCTTCGGCGGCAGGGGGGGTCCCCACGTCCTGGTAGGTGGGCTGCAGCCCCCGGGAAATGTCCTCGTACATGGAGCACTCGTCCAGGTTCAGCCCCTGCGGAAATTGGGGCGGGGGGCTTGGGTTAGGGGGTGATGGACCCCCCCCCCACACACACACACACACAGTGCCCACCCAGCCTCTTTCTTTTGGGGTCACCTCGTAAAGGTTTTCCTCCTCCAGGGAGATTTTCTTGGGCTGGAGGAGCCGCTCGTTGGCCCAGCGCTTCTGGGAGGGGGGGAAAAAGGGGGTACAGGGGGGGAAAAAAGGGGATTTAGGGGAGT